TACTTACCTGAAGCTGACGAGCATCTTTTAAATAGCTGTGTGTGCGGCATTCACCCACACTGTAGACAACATCACAACTTCGTACACTGTACCCAAGACAACGGTGCCGCCCACCCTACGCAACACAACGGCTCCCCCAACCTCTACAGGACCATGTACAGAAACTACCACAGAGTACTATATGCCGTCGTACTCGCAGATCGTAGAGACTATTACGGAAACAGCAGTGCTCACCATACTGATGCATGTCACTCCCTACCCAAACGGTACTACAGCCACTCGTTATGAAACTGTTCGTGATAAGGCCATGACAACGAGCGATGAGGTGATGATCGCTTTCCCAGCCGATGAATCCACCACCGATGAACTCACAGCCACCGCATCCACAACTGAAGAGTACGTATTTCAGAAAAAAAAGACAGTTTAGGTCAACTAACATTGCCAAGTCAGTACAGAGTCTCTAATAGCACCACAACGTATCCCACATATTCAATACCATACCCCACGAATACGAAACTATATCCAGTACCAGGTTTTACGACAAAATCTTGCTCATTTACATCGACCTCCGTCATTACTCTACATCCATACATTCCTCCAACATCCGAGATCGTAACCGCGACAGCAATCACGGTCTCAACTCTCTTTGACTATGACTACCTTACTCCGCATATCCCTATCGTAGATCCTACATCAACAGCGTAAGTGAAGTTTCAGTAGTATGATACAAAAGATTGATCAGATATACAGTAAGCCAAATCCAGGCTTGGATTCTCCACCAACCCCTTCAAAGACTCCACCAGTCACCACGAAAGATAGCCCAGCCCAACCCGGACCATCGCATGTACAGCCTCCGAACCCACCAGCACAACCTCAGGAGTCCCCGAAAGGTCCCCCGGAAGTTAAGCCAGTAGACCCAACACTTTCTAAAGTAGGTGTGAAACCACCCATTACCGGTGCGCCAGGGCCCCAACCTACCAATGACGCCACACCTCCACCAGTTGTCACATTGCCAGGAGCTGGTCCCATTGTAATTGACCCGTCGCGATCTGAAATCGTGATCAGCGGAACCACGACTAGATTCAGTCCAGGCCAACAAACGACTATCGACGACGTGCCAATTTCCCTTGACAGCTCCGCCGGGTTTGTCGTGGTTGGTGGTACCAAAACAATTGGACTGCCGCCGCCAATGACCCCAGCACCCATCGTAGCACCCGTTGTTATTGGCGGTACTACTGTGGACATAGATGATATAGTGCCGGGACTGCAGCCTGGCCAGATGACCACTATCGGAACCAATACCATCTCGCTCGACGAATCTAGCTCTTTCCTTGTAGTAGATGGCACGCGTTCTATCCCGCTAAACCAGGAGACATCCATACCCAGTACTTCCACACTCGACGTTAATGGAGTACCCATCCATGTGGGACAGCTCGCGACAGAGCTAGATGTTGGCGAAACAACTGTCATCGGAAGCATAACTGTTTCACGTGACGATACCGGCTTGATCGTTGGTACTACTACGATTCCTGTCCCTACGAAAACAGACGAGATAGTCGTCGGAGGTACGACTATATCTCCTGATGCGCTCCCATCCGGCTTCTCCTTTATACCAGCTGCATCTAGTGGCGGCCTACTACTTCCCAATGGCGACACACTATTGCCAGGTGGAGAGACGACGATCGATGGTATGGAGATTTCGCTTCTGCCGGGAGAGACCCCTGTTGCAGTTATCGAGGGCTCAATATCCATTACGGCGACCGAGACTGCTGAGAGTACTACTGCAACATCATCCTCTTGCAGTGGCCTGACATGCGGTCAGCCGACTAGGACTTTGACCAGCCCAACAGGAGACAATACCGCAGCTTCATCGGCAGATGTGTTAGTGAGTGGGAGGTGGTCTGACTTTGTTTTTGCGAGCATGTTTGTTGGCGTTTTTATTCATTGGGCTTGATTGGTCATTGGTGCATGATCATTGGGATTGAAAACATAATGTTTTTGTATGATGATGAGGTTGCATTTTACGTTCAATATTCTTTTTCATAGGGGCAACATGGTTTTGGTTATTCAAGGAGCAGAAAACTAACTGTATTACGCAGGGCAAGAAGGTCCTGTCAAATTGTGCATATTGCACAAAATTATCAAATATAAATAATGTTTCGCAACTTGAGGTATCTCAACAAAGGCTGTGGGCATGAGCTGGTGGTTGAGTTAATGTTTACTGCTAGAAACGAGACTTCTGAGAAAGGGCTGGTAGAAGATAGGTATCGGAGACTGCCAAGAAACAACAGAGGTTGAGATTCGAATTGAGTCCCTCAGTGCGCACTTGCAGCGACAGTAGCCAAGCGCTGACAGAATGGAGTAGCGGTCGATTATATGCAGCACCAGTATATAGATAGCGTCGCAACACTGACAGAACAACATGGTCCGTATTTCGAGGAATGATACTCGTCAAGATAGTAATGACCGCATTCAACACCCGTACTTGCACAGGTGGTGGGTTGGTCGGTTCAAGATCAATCACATCTTCTCCCACGCAGGATATGAAGCAAGCCAGGTTCCGAGTCAACCCATCTAGTTTTTCGAGTCGCAAGACAGCGTCTCTAGACAAAGTCAAAAGAAAACGCGGGTCAGAGAAGCGCGACGGATATGTTGCAAGTATATAGAGAGAAGGGCTGTCCGGAGAGGGCGGTGTGCAAGCGACATTGTCGTCTTGCTCAAATCACGCATTTTTCTTCGTGGTGGGAGTTGAAGGCCCAAAATGTAGAGTTTAGCACTGTGCCTGGAACACAGCGCTCGTTAAAGAGTCAGATTTCTGGCTCGTTCTCCCGGCCATTAAAATCCCCGGGCGCTGAAAACATAATTCCAGATTCTGGTAGCGGATGATATGAAACAGCGACTTCCATACGATATTTTTAGTCTCTTTTCAAATAGCCTCGCCATGAAAAAGGGCGATATCTCGTGAAACTGAAAAGGACGACGGGTGTGAAGCATTATATTGCGGTGATCTCTTTTCATGAAATTCCACGGTTGGTGGTCGTATAAAATGTATATATTCGAAATTGGGACGGAGAATATTTGTAGCAGACATGTTGCTGGTTCGAAGATAAAAGTGTAGTCATGCAAGGTGTGTGAAATATAGGCGGAAGGCTGGTGGTACTCTGATGCATCCAAGAAGCCGCTATTTATCCCCGCTAAGCCCTTGGATGGCATTTTCACTCCACTCAAATTTTTTTACTCGTTGAGATTGTCGTGCTGTTAGGACTTCAATTGTTATAGCCTTCTTAATTGTCGTTTGGTCAAGCAAGCTTGGGAACAATCAGCCCAACCACGCGACATCTACTCATTCAGCAAGATATGGGTGCCAAAAAATAGCAATGCTTGCGCCAAACACAATGAGTCGTTATCATATTTGCTTGCTCATTGTGAACAATGCATCGCGATAACAAACGTCACACGTCAGGCGTCCTGCACGGACCCCAAAATGTTTCGAACAACGGTATGTACCGGTGTTAGCTTTACTAGAAATGGTATGTAGACCCGGAAGATGGCTGACGATAGTTTGGGTTGTTGTTTTAGATTGCCGGCTGCAACCGGATCGAGGGAAGCTTGCGATAATCGGCACCGTTCTGTGTAGATATCATCCCTTTGACCAAATCCCGTCGCAACTCTTGAGTCAACGATTGGTTTTCCTTTGGACATCGTCAACGATGGAACAAGGCAAAGGAGTTCGCAACAGAAGGTTGTATCTATGCCCAGAAACTACCAGTCGGCCTGTACAAGATCTTATCCGAGAGTGCCCCAGGTGTGGAGGTTTTGTATTTTATTGCTGTGCATGCAACAACCAATCTCTCTACGACCTTCGCAATGAACCAACGCCCATTCCCTGTCATCACTTCCGCATCATATTCACTGATGGCGCGTGCAAAAACAACGGAAAATCCACAGCCAAATCCGGGATTTGTATAGCATATAGCAGTAATACTGCAGGCCAACTGTCTATAGCTATCACCGACATGCTGGACAACTTTGCGGTCCGATCAAATCAAAGAGCAGAGCTTCTCGCGGCAATAATTGGCCTAAGGACACTTTCAAGTACCTTTACTAGAAAAAATAAGAAGGAACAAAGATCATGGATTGTGGCGCCCGACTCCGCGTATGTGGTCAAGGGAATAACCAAATGGCTACGAATATGGAGGGTATGTATATTTCAACAATCTGCAAGGAGTCGCGAAAGGGAATCATGTGATTGATCGTGTAGCGACAGAATTGGAGCACATCTAAACGCAAGAAGCCTGCAAATCTCGATCTATTCCGTAAACTCGATACCTTGATCAAAAGACTCGATGCAAAGAACACCAAGGTAAGTTCTCACTGGCAAAGGCACCATGAGTGTATACGACACTAAAGCTGTTCTAGGTTGGATTTTGGCATGTTCCAAGGGAGCATAATCAACTAGCTGATCGGCTTGCAAAGGCCGCTGCAGTCAATGGTACTGTAGCCACAACATTGGACTCAAGTACGTGACGCGGAGGTGAACGGCTTTTTCATTTTCGTGGGTATCGTGAACGCTAGCTTTCATAGATAACAAGGCCAATCGGACGGATGATGACTCTAACAAATCACCATTGTCATCTTTGTCAAAGATTTGACGCATCTCATTGTTGTTGGCGCACAATGCGATCACCGGCGCCTGGTCTCCAAGTACATTGTGCGTCATGCTGTAATACCCTTTGAAAAGAAAATAGAAACGGCTCAAACTATGTGCATTGTAATGTTTCTGCTATCTCTGTCCTACCGCAGTGTCAACAATGTGACGACACAACCTCCCAGGTCTGTTCTATCATAAAGAGAACTTCGTACGATCTATTCTTTTTCACACCCACCACCAGGGTATTCGGGTATCAATTGAAGAGACACATTTTCACTCATTAAGAATTGAAAGACGCCTACAAACCATGGGGTACCCGATAACTTGTTACCGTCAGCCAACCAATACGATGTGTTTCGAAGATCGTCGCTACGACAAGCTTTTCTTCGCGCGTGGTCAACGCACACAATGCACTACAGAAGAGCTCTGGCCACACCGATTTCCGGGTTTGTCTTTTCCAGATTGGTGGCTTCACTATGTCGGCGTAGATAGGCTAAAGGTCTGCCGGTGCAGTCATCCTGCACGACATCGAGAGAAAACCTTCCGCCTTATCAAAGAATGGCCAGAACTGGAAGCAAGCTTGAATTTTTACATGGACCGCATGAACTACAAGACATGTACTGTAGCTGAGTATATCAATTATCAGCTGAAACGCGAAAAGATATGGGAAAGCGCCGGAATATATGTCCGCTGTTTCCACTGGGCCGATGTTGCACGTATATTCGTGTGTCGTTGTACTGGAAGCCATGGTTGCACGTACAGGACTCCCAATGACCCAGTACAATTGGAGCAATGCGCAGAATATTTCCTTCTTCACCGAGATGAAATAACAGTGTCGCAAGAGAAGTGGGAGGGTTATAATAAAGATTTGCCACCCCCTTACGCACTTAAAGCACAATCCGAATCGAGATATTCTCATAAGCAATACCAACGTCTGAATCAAAATGGACGTACTAGCAAGGTATCTCAGAGGGTTCCGAAGCCGGAAATGGGAATGCGCGGCAGTGCGAAGCTACTGACACCTCGCTTCGTAGGACCGTGCAAAGATGGTGCAGCAATGCAGCAAGAGTCAGAGATGCCTCCACAAGTTTGGCAGCATGCCCGCCCCTCTTTGTGGAAAAATCCTAATGGTATCTCTTCATCAGTAAGCACGCCCTTGGGTACGGCGTTTTTCGCTTCATCGGAGGAACCTCGTGTACCGGCAACTGCTCCACTGGAAAACCGACCCGCTCCTTGGAATAGCTCTAATTCTGGCTATTTGTCTACAACTCAAAATCAAGGAAAACGAGATGCAAGCGCTAGGGGCATACATAGCCGTTCTAAAAGCCATGAGCCAGATCATACCCGGGCGGGTAGTGCTTTTGACATGCGCTCAATGCATAGTGGAATAGGAACTATCCCAATTAGTAAGTTATCTCCAAGCAGTTCTCGAAGCTCTTTGAAGTCTAAGCCAACTATGGGTATCCCGGATGCGCATGAGCAACAGAATGCCGCAGATGGTTATACCCCTACTACTGATATATATTTTCGCATCGCGGACGAGGACGAAACTGACATCGTCTCAGTGTATAGGAAGTCCAGCCCATCCTCCACCACCAGCTCTCAAAATTTGCCATTCTTTTACGAAAACTACTTGAACGACAATAGCCACAAAGAAGCAGTCCAGAAAGACATTACAGAACTATCACCAGAAGCCTACTACACTAGCGATAAGTACGCGATTCCAGCTGGTCAGGATAACCAAAACAAAGGATCCAATGTTCATATTAGCGAGCTTCCCGCCGAGACTTCCGCAGCGGAGTTGCCGACAGTTGCGCCACGCCAACGACACACACCGACGCTGCATGCCCTCGAGGGCCGCGACTGGAACCCTGTTCCCGAGATGGAGGCAAAGACGACCGACTCGAACGACAAAGGTGAGGAAGTACCGGTCCGCATGTCTAGTCACACTTACAACTCGGGACTGATTGACTCACTCCTCGAACAGGTTTCGAATCTGGGCTCTTCTACGACCCTTGATCAAGACGTACAACTCCGATATGCCACAAACTCATCTCCCAGAGACTCTGGATTTGGTAGTAACTCTGGACATGCCGAAGAGACTTCTCAGACCTGGAGATCCGTTTCCCAATCCAATCTCACGTTGGCGGAGCGCATCAAGCAGGATCTGAGGGCCATCTTTGGTACGCAACGCACGCCATTGAAAGATGTGATTATGATAGAGTTCCCCCACCGTAGTGATGCGTTCAAGTGCTCGTCGGAAGAAGAGTTGGCGGTTACGCAGCTTGCTCTGATTAAAGATCACGTCGGGATCAATGCAGAGGAGGTGTTCAGTCGCTGGAACGCCGATGACGCTGCGCCCAACTGGAATGCAGACGTGGTCCAGCCCGCTGTAAAGATATTTATGGGATGGAATCGATCTTTTCGCACGCTCTTCTCCATGTCGCAAGAATCGTTTCTTCGAGTCGTTGCGTGGGGAGAGCTGGTGCGCTTGATGAACAAGTCTTGGACGATGATGCAGTCTCAACCGGGCGAGAAGGTAATGTTCGCCCAGCTCGGACATGTCCATCGTCGGTTCTTCAAGGCCAAGGCTACTTATGATAAGGAAAAGAAGGATTGGAAGGTTAGTCGCTTCGAGGCGCTGGGTTGTGATATGATTGCAGCGTATCTTGTTACGATGACGATAGAAATCGGTAGGAGTACATAGAAGGCGGGTAGGAGTATGAAATTGACTGAGGGGTGGATGGTTCTCATCCTTGCGGTCAGGAAGCAGTGTAATATACAATGATATGTTAGGACACATCAAAAGTTACCAAAAGTTATACTTTCACGATAGCAAAAACCGGCAGTTTGTTGCTTAGGTTACATACGTAAAAAGTACAGTGTTGCCCTATCACCAGACTCTGTGCAAGTGCTCAAGTAATCAATGCTCAGATATTTGCTGAAACACATCGAGATATACATGCAGTAACACAAAAACTTGCTGCTCGTTGTTGCCACACCCTCCTTGATCTCAAGTCATATGTTATGGCGATTCTCTAGCCATTTGATCAACTTACCCATCTTACCCTCATGCAGATCCTGGCGACATGTATTATTGTACACGTGCTGAAAAAGGCCGGATAGATTTGTGAAGCTCGACTTGCAGCTTGGGCACCGAAATGGGTACATGCATCCATACATTGCTTGTAGATCAACACGCTCGAGTAATTCCTGGCGGTACTCCTGATCAAGGTACGCCTTCGATTGGAAAACACATGGCAGCTGACTGATTTCAATCGCGTATGTCGATTCCAGAAACGCAGGTAGCGGCCTCAAGGTGGATGATCATAGCGGGATATGTGGGAAATTTCTTATAGCAGCCATAACATTCAATTGTCCGCTCTAGATGTGTCATTTCATGCTGCGCACCCCGTCAATGTTCATTCAACCAAGGTTCAGTTCAGCTCACACGTTCAAGGTTGCTCGGAGTTTCAAAATGCGTCTCACAAAGCCCACAAACATTCTCGTCCTCGAGGTGATCGAGACACTCCTGCGATTCCAAGCCCCAGATGCGTCCCCTCCCATCGTTGCAGCCGCAGCAAACTACTGCGTGTCTTGTCTGGTCGAGACGTGTGAACGACTTTGCGCGAGTTGCTCCAAAAAAGTCGCATAAATCACATGGATGATGGTTGGAGGCGTCACGGCGGTGTTGTCGCAGCGGGTACACCGGAAGTTGGAGCTGGTATTGTCAGCTTAACCAGACGACAGCAAAACCCAAGATGCACGTAAAACGGACTAGTCGCTATAACTATCCGACCAGAACATAGCGCGCTCACAGAGGGTCCAAGCACGATGTGCTGTTACTATTGGGAATAGCTGAAGGTAACAGTGGAGTTGTCCTAGAATCATGCGCCCACTTAACCCTTTATTATCAGCGCTAGGTTATTTTAAGGCTGGGGTACTATGCAAAGGTGCGAGGGCCCTCCACAACACGGACGGGAACCGATCTTGTGGTCACGGACTGGCCTGAATGGATGTATCTCGACACATGGCAAGTGTTTTCTAGAACGTCACTTGGTGTTGTTCTTACAGGAGAAGGCCTTTTACCAACTAACCATCTTCACTACTGACAGCTTAATGCTTGTCACGTGACACGTTCAATCTAGATGCGCACAAAGGCACGACAGGTACAGTTGTTCACACACTGCACTGCTATTGTTCATTCACAAGAGCAGTCATGTTCATTCTGGTAGTCGGGATAAATGTAAAATTTAACAAGACGCTTCAGACTGAGGCAGCAAGACTGCCAGTTCCGAGGCACAAGGCGGCAAGATAGAAGAGTTTGGAAGCGCAGATGAGGATTCATGAGCAAAATATTGTATGAAAGAGATACATGATTGCAATGAAAACGCATCGAACATGTTTCGTCAATCTTTTTGTAATGTGAGCGATGACGCAGTGTTTCCGCTTAAGCAGAATTCGCACACGCTACCCACGTTTCCGCGATCACAGTTCCACAAAATTATACTCATGACAGCAACATGGCTCCGAAGCGACAGGATGAAAATAGTCGCTCGTGTGGATTTTCAGTCTCAACCGTAGTTCGCGTGCGCAATAACACTTATTCTGAGCCAGTGACGATAGAGGCATTTGCAAATCCGATTACTCTCGCGTCTATCGCCATGAACACTTTTCATAACCTGTCCAGTGAACGCTTGAAATATTATAGGCAGTGAAAGAGCGTGACACAATCTCCACGGCAGTGAAAGTGATTATAAAATGAGAAACCCGCTGCTCACTCCTCAACACCAGGCCAAAACGACTCCATCACAACCACAACTTTTGTCCATCAACACCCAGAGCGAATACCATCATCACTAGAACCTCAGAAGAGATACCCTCATTCGATTCAATACGGCCATATTTCCACTCAAGCTACAACCGTCGCTTCGCTTCAAGCGCGCTCAAGACAAAATCACGACTTCAACACAACTAACTACACTCGACTCGCTTCCCTTCACTCAAGACCTGTGCAGGATGTCCTTCTTTATTCAACAGCAAACACAATACACGGCTCACTCGGGAAGGGCGATACAACCCACGCCACACCAGCGTTACCATCCACCAGCCTCATGCACCACACAAGCTTCGTGCAGTGATCCTCAAGGATGGCTGGCAGAATCCGCAAAAGACTTGGTCAATGTGAATCCTTCATCCATCGTGCCTGGGATCAGTCCCAAGCAGGTTTGTTCGCCGTCACAAAGATTGCATGGCTTGTATACACCCGGGGATTTTTGGAATGCGAGATGCTTGTCGCCTGCAGAGAGACACGAGCTGTATGTATCTTTCGGTGTGTTTGGTCGCATCATGCAAAGCCATGACCCTAGCTCTTCAGAATATACTACTGCTTTTGATGTGATCAAGGAAAAGAGCAAGGAAATTGCCCAAAAGGAGGCACAATGGTACAGTCAATTTGGCGCTAGAGGGAAGGGGACTTTGAAGGAGCGGACCGAGCGATTCAAAGAGATTCTGATCGAACAGATGCACGAAGTAGACCTTAGGGCTATTTCTCAAGAAAGCAGCGCCGCTTCTTCAACGCAGATTGCTTCGCTAGGACAACAGCCTGGTGCAGGTAACAACACTGCAATCGTCATTGACGATGAGCGAGGCGCCTCTTCAAGCCAGAAGCGCGGCCAGAAGCGCCGTGCGTCAGAGCCAGAAGCTGGGAAAGACTGCCGACCCGCCAAACGACTCGCACCAGAATTGGACAAGTCAGTGCGACTGGAAAGGCAGGCAAAAGCTGAGGCGGAACACCAGCGATATCTCGCCCAGAAGGAGATGGTTGACCGTATCTACCTCGATGGCGATCGGTCGCGGAAACCAACAGATCCCGTGTGGCAAAAGCTGGCCGCCTTCGATGCCTTCGAGGCCGCGAAGCAAAATCTGCAGCCAAAGAAGAAACGCCGACAGCCATCGCCCGAAGAAGATGAACAAGCATTTTCGGATGTCGACGAGCGCTTCAAGCTTCCATCCCGCGACTTGGCATCATACCCACTGAAGACACCAGACAAGTACATGTGTCTTCACGTCGACTCGGGATGCGGAGGCAGCAAGGACTGCACTTGCCACAACCACAACTGTTGCCGCAACGGCTTTACCCTCCGCCAGCTCGAGGGCGCCGTCAAGCGCAAGTACGAAAGGATTTGTTCCAAAATTGAAGAACAAGCCTTCATCCATGGCAAGATTCCGCGGAAACTCAAGACGTGGGAGAATTGGTACAGCAAGGAGATGCGGGACCGAGACTCGACTCGCATCAAGGCTTGCATGCCGCCACTGGAGTGGAAGCCTGACCCGCGCATGGCAGGCGTGAATTCGGCTGCACAGTCCTTGAGAGCTCCAAAACAAGCTGCTGCCAAGAAACCTCGTGTGAACCCTCGATCTGCGCTTGGGCAACTGCAAAAGAGGCAAAGGGAAGAGGAAGAGAGGCGGGTGGAGGAAGCGATTTCCCGGGCGACACAGGCGGTTGTTGGGGGCGTGGAAGGGAGTGGGAGTCAGGGAGCTGAACAAGCTCCCCCTGTTATGCTTACAGAGGTGTGTAAGGGGCGTGAGCAGCCAGAACAGACTCCCCTTCAGGTCGAGCATCAGGAGGCCGAGGAGCCAATCTCGACGCCAGAAGAGAATTCCCCCAAGGATAATGGGGATGAAGATCTCGACGTTGCCTTCTTTGGCGAGCCAATATCGATGGCTGAGGGGAATGCCCCCGAGGATGATGAAGATGGAGACTTGGACGTGGAGTTGTTTGGCGAGCCATTAAACGAAGATGGCGACAACGGTCTCGGTTTGGAGCAACCGAGTGGAGGCTTCCAAGCCGGACTACTCGACGCTTCCGAGCTGGCAGATATCTCCAATTCTGGCGTACCGGTTTCGTGGGAGGGGCTCGATTTGGCGACGTTGAGCGGAGACACCCAAATCGGATTGTTCAACGTTTCTGAGCTGGCGGATATACTCGATCCCGCCATGCCAGTTTCGGGAGATGGCTTCGATGGCAACTTTTTTGAGCACTTTTTCTAAGAGAGGAAGACAAAAGGTGTACGGGATGATTCTTGTACTCAAAGTTTGTCTTTGTCACTGGGATGGTGGAAATGTAGTCAAATCCTTGAAATTGGCGTCTCACGTATTGCTACGAAGAATTAGTGATCTCTCGATATTATTCATGGTGCTTGTCGTCTTTTGCTTGTTATCACGATCCATCAGTATGGTTTGTGATGTCTAAGAGGGGAATTGCTCGCGTGACCACCTTTACCATGCTTATTCTTGCAACCAGCAGAAGCAGCAGGAACGGCTAACGCGGAATGACATATGACTGAGATGATTGATCTGAAATTCAAGGACGAGATGTTATACATGTATATATATATATATACATACGTAGCAGCTATATGGTGTCGTACGTACAAGCGAAGTCGGGTTTGCCGCACCCCACAAAAAGCCACATGGGCGGTGGCGACGCTAGCCGGCGGGCCATGGGAGTCTGTGCGTCAACGCGTCATGCTGTCGTGATTGTACACTATGTCTGCCCATTACTACTCCACACCCTAGTCTACACCTCTTTATTCGCCCTGCTCTCTCCTGGTGCGTACACAGTACACTGAATTCCGGCCATTCCTGATTTTGACCGTTACCTGCAATCGTCTTACTCCAACTGCACGCAATCTGATCCCAAGTCACATCCCCAACCTTGTCCCACACGACCCGATATCCGATATCGCACGCTCGTCATCAGCTCCGCACAGGGTAAGCAGCCCAAAAGAGCAGGTAACTGTTATTTTTACAGATTGGCGAGACCGTCTTCATCTTGCATAGCAATCGCATTCGTCGACTGGGAGCGCCAATCTTGTTTGGCACTGGTGCAGCTAGGCGAAGGTGGGAAGGTGATACCCGGGCGTTGCCAAGCGGGAGTGTACCAAGCTCCGTCCCGTACCAGGTGTACCGTTGCATTTACCACCAATTGGAGATACCTGCTCGCATCTTACCTCAAACGGAACAAATCCAATATCTGGAAGCCCTGCCATCTGTGTCGTGGTACGTGGCGTTGGAGTAGCCTATGCATAGTTAACCACCAACCCTCGGACTGAGTTGCAATCCATCAATCGTTGCTACGTATCTCACATTCTGCCACCATCGAGGTATCATATCCCGGTACCCACCGCTTTCTGGACCAATGTATTCATACATACCCAGGGACGAGAGTTCAGCCCCACACACAATGACTCCCCCGTTGCTGAGACTCCCCGCGGAGCTCTTACAACAAATCCTGGGTCACCTATGTCTTTCAGACCTCCTCTCCATAGGTTTGGTAAGCCGGGTGCTGCAAGATCACACAAACCAAGACATTCTTTGGCAACGACTAGTCCA